AAAGTCTTGAGGAGAACTGTGCAATTACCATTCTAAGTGTTAAAGTGGATACAATATAAGCCCCCGTGAATGATTTTTTGGGGCAAAAATCATTCATTTTCTTCAGACGAACATAAAATCTAGTGTTCCCCTTCAGGAACTCGAACTGCGTCGAAGTCGCTTTGGGAACGCTCCTGCGTGACAGCGTTCTGAAGCACGTGTCAAATCAGTCCAATGGAGTAGTGAGACGTCACGAGCGGGGTGACGTAAGCACCAGAAAGTATAAAAGCGCATCCGGCAGAGCGCAAACCAGCTTCTGCTCTTCAGTAGCGCTCTGTGTATGTGTCTGTCTATTTACTGTTGTCTGTCCGCACAAGCATATATAAAAAACAATCATGAAAAAGTCTATGGCGAGCGAACGGCATTACAAACGCTGTGTTCCTCCCTGCCCACGATATCTGGCGGCGGGGGATACACACGATTTGTGTGTCGTTTGTTTGGGAGCGGAGCATGCACGGTCAGTTTTCGAGGGAGCTGATTGTCATCACTTCGAGTTACACTCGCTGCATATGCTCCGCTCTCGCCTGGCTGTGTTTGATGAGAGCCGTCCTAAAAGTAATTAGATGAGCGTTTTCTGAAATCCAGATCACAGCCTTCACGACGGGACCTTCCGTTTCTCCCCGATCTTCATGCTGAGGTGTCAAGATCGTGGGAGAAACCGTACTCATCCCGTATTTACAGCCCCACAGTCTCGAATTATTCAAAAGAACATCCAGTTTCAGGTGAGAAACTGGGTAGAGTTTGAGTTTTAGTACAAGATTGTTATCTTCAAGTTAGACACAGTACATAAATCAACTAAACACAATTTTAAAAAGCAAAATGTCAGAGTGACAGACAAACGTATGGGCAGATGTACTTACAAATGTCTCATCTTCAGAGACCAGATCGTAATCTGGCTGTACTGTGTCCAGACTAAATGTGACTCAGATATTTGGGCATTACATTTTTCTATACTTCTATAGACAGACAGACAGACAGACAGACAGACATACGGATGGATGGATGGGGCTAGTAAACACAGGCCATGAAAAGCTAAAAAGTGAACAAAAATGGCAAAAACCCAGGGGGTAATTAAATTCTCCCTCTATCAGTGAGGAAGACAGCGATGTCACATCAGTATCACACCCCTGTTCACATCTTTGCCACATATTCCTGTCAATCAGCAGGCACCGCAGGACATCCTGCTTGTGAATAGCGACTGCCTTTGGGGCTTAATGAGCTTTCACGCATTTTAAAAGACAAAACGTTAACTAAATATTCCCTGTCTGTCGTCTCGTCTCCTTATCATCCGCCTCACATCTCTGCTCACCAGCGCTGAGGAACCACCCGAGTGTAAAAGATGAAATTGTTTGCTTACAATGCATGGGACATTTCTATGAGAAGACTGAAGTGAATTTAAAACACGTTCAATAAAGGATGTGACCCAGGGCTGTTTCTCTCCAGTGCGGAAGAAATGGTTGACCCTGCTAAAAGTGCGACTGTCAATGTAGCAGCGCCTGTCTTAAACCAGCCTGAACACAGAAATCATAACAGGGTCAGAAAAGCCCAGATAATTACAAACGCGACGAATCCACGGCACCAAAAATATCACAGTGCTCTGAATAGAGAGTCTTTAAGGAGGCAGGAGAAAATAGTATTTCATATTAATATTAAAGATCCGCAGCACAGGAGGGCTAATGATACCCTGGATGCCTATTAATAATGATACATAATAGAGAATTCCTGAAGTCTGAGCACTCCATTTGGGAGGCAGGCTATTGGAAGTCCAGTCACTTGGATGTGTTCAATCACATACAGAATTTAAATGCAGTTTTTCCAGGAAATGGTCATGTCCTGTCAGGGAGACAATGCACTGTTTCTTTCTGGAGACATTTTGGGTAACAGCGGACAAGAATGAAAAAATAAAACCAAAGCTTGAGGAAATGAGGGGCAATTACAAACGGTCAATACCTGCCTTTACAATTATCTCAAGCAACACTGCTAAACATGGCACCTATTGGCTCCTGTTAAAATTAAGTGGTGAGCCTGACATGCCTGGGCAAAGTCTTACCAGTGAGCTGGTGTAGGTGGGGTCAGAGGTGTCTTCCTGCAGATAACGGGACAGGCCGAAGTCCGACACCTTGCAGACGAGGTTGCTGTTGACCAGGATGTTGCGGGCAGCCAGGTCTCTGTGGACGTAATTCATCTCGGACAGGTACTTCATGCCTGCGGCAATTCCCCTCAACATCCCCACCAACTGGATCACTGTGAACTGCCCATCGTTTTGCTGTCACACAACACAAAAAACACAGATATCACATGATGTTCACCAATATGTCGAAGCTCAACCTCAACCAAAGGAGCTCCTGGTGTTTAGCTATAAACTCATTTTTGGTTGTACAATATGTGGTTAATGAAAAATATAACCATCTATTTCCACTTCACTCTGTTTCAAAAAGCTTAACATGATTTGTCAAAGCAGGACATGATCCAGGATAAATGACACTGTTTCTGGAACAAAATTCCTACGAATCAATCAGATTTTAGGGTTATGATTATAGTTGTGCGCCATTCAGAATTGAATTGTGAGTGCCTTTAAAATTCCAATTCAAATTTGAATGTATCAAAACAACAACAGATACGATATATAGAGATAAGAATAGACAGAATGATAAAATTATCAATAGATAGAATGATAGATAGATAGAATGCTAGACAGAATGACAGATAGAACAACAGACAGAAATGACAGAACGACAGAACAATAGATTGATAGAATGAAAGAGAGCGACAAGACAATGGTTATACCGGCTTCCGGCTGCACTGCACGGCGCGACCCAACCGTGAAGTCATAAGCAGGCGCCCTTCGTCTGCTCTGTTTGGGCGACGCAGCATTTACACTCCGAAAGAGGACTACTCTCGGATAAACAAACAAACAACCGAACGAAGACACGAGGACGAAACACAAGACAGATAATGTGTGTGTGGGTGAAATGAACGGGTATGAGACTGGGCAAAAGAGAAATGTGGTATGGAGGAATGTCCGTGAGCCATCGGTCGGACTTTCGTGGAGTTCGGTGGAAAAACACTTAATTTCCCAGAATGCATTATCTGTTATTTTTATTTATTTATTTATATAGTTAGTTAGTTAGTTAATTGATTGTCATTCAAGTTCCTGTGGGGTGTATGAAGCATATGAACCACATGATCCATACACCGTATTCTTAAGGGGTTTTCTTGGATGAACATCGAGGAACCACGCTTGAGTTCACACCAACATTCACACCAGCCTAACGCATCAAAAATTGACTTCCCACAGACTCACATCCACATTAGAAGCTCTAGTGTGAAATGGCTCAGAGTCTGGAGGTCCTTCATAAACTGCTGCTGGATTTCCACTGTACCCTTGCTCCAGCTGCAGTAGACAGTCTTTGCAATTAGCGTGAAATCAAACAGATGCAAGTCGCTCTGAGACATCAGTGTGCTTTAATCTTTTAGAAACAAGTTAATGAATAAAATGATCATTTCACACAGAGGCAGACCCTTCAATAATTTGAAACAAACAGCAGCACGGATTAAATAAATATCTTGTGAATAAAAGGAGACATTGATTTTCCTTTTCGTGCACCATTTGTGTTTAACACTCTTCATCAGTAGCTGTCTAAACCGTGTTTACAGCACACAGTGGGAGACCTTACAGTTCCTTCGAAACTTCTGTACACAGCCGCCATTTTGCACAAGAGAAAGCTTTGAACCGAACGCACGATAACAAACAGGGGTGGGGGTGTGGATCGATGGCAATGCTACTCGGATGTGGTGGATTTCTAAACTAACTTCAAAGAGCCCCTTCATTGCGGCACCAGATCAAAGCTAGAGAGAACCAATCCATGAGATTGAAAAAAAAAATGGGCTGAACATTGATTAAACAGTGTATTTTCCCACACCAGAGGGAAAGAATAAAACAGACAGCGAGAGAGAGACACAGAGGGTGCTTGTTTTGGATGTTGCACTTACCCTAAGGAAGGAGTCGAGTGCCCCATTCTCCATGAACTCTGTGACGATCATGACCGGTCGGCTCTTGGTGACCACACCCTCCAGGCGAATGATGTTGGGGTGGTCAAACTGCCCCATGATTGATGCCTCAGACAGGAAGTCGCGCCTCTGCTTCTCAGAATAGCCCGCCTTCAGTGTTTTGATGGCAACGTAGATCTCTCGTTTTCCAGGCAGTTTCAGTCGACCTTTATACACCTCCCCGAACTCACCTGGGGCACACAAAGTGGAGGAATGAGTGAAAGGCCATTAAACCCATCAAAAAACAATGAAGCTTCTACTGCTGAACATCAGCTACAGTCCATATGTTATGTCTTGTTAATGGGTGAAGATTTTAGGGTATCTGAAAAGTTTTGGTGAAATTAAATGTGGGGATAGAATGGCAGTGGTAGATTCAAAAGATAGTAGATTCAAACTTCACAATTTGATGGATACGAATGTCTATGATCTGTCTAGAGGTGTAGAAGGAACAGTGAATCAAGAAATAGAAGCGAATTGGATTCCCAAAAGCCAATGAATGGAAGTCAGATTTTAAGAAGTTGCATGACAGAACTTGCATTTTTCCTCAACAGCTTTGAAGCAGACCATATCAATTGCAAACAATGATTTTCAGTGATTCAGTGTTTTCTGAAGTAGTGTGAACTAGTGTAAGCATACTCAGATGGTTTGGATAAAAATGGATTCTAATTTGCAAAACAAAACAAAATAATTCTTGGCCAATCCAAGTGTAATCTGATATTACAACTTCTAAAGCAAACAGCAACTACAAAAGCCCTAAAAGTCCCAGAGTTTGATTATGAGTATCAAAGCTTAAAATTTGCATAGTAGAGCTCATGTGTGTATCTTTTCCAATTTATTCAGTGTTTAGACTAAGTTATTTGTAGGCTGATTTCCCCAAAGTTTTCTGGCAAACACAATGGCAGCTTCCTAAGCACAGTTCAACCAGTGGTGTTATCTTGGGTCTGGACTACTGTTAACTCTAGCGTACAAAAAAAAAACACAAAAAAAAAACCATACTTATTAAAACAGTTCAGATGTGGTAGCTTAACAGTTAAGGATCTAGGCTGTTTACACAAACCTACAGATCAAGTAAAGAGGATATAATTCAGGAACGAGTCACTGAGGTCATTCTGACCTTCAGTATGTCATCAAACCCCAGGCTGCCTAACGGAGACTCTCCCTAATATAACTTCACTAGAAGCAACACCAAGCTTGATTATATCTGTGTGGCCCCAGAAGTCTTCTAAAATCAATAAAGCTCAAGATAAAATGAGCAAAAATAGTAAAGGATAGAATAAAGAGAAACTGTGTCAACTTTGACTTGAGTTTTAGTGCTAAAAGGTTGAGAGTATTTGTTATGATCTGTGTGAAATCCATATGAGGTGCATCAGTGGATTAACTTGAGCTGTCTGAAGCAGAGCAGACTGCGAGTCATACCGCGTCTCCACCACGACTCGCCAAGAAGACGAGGAGAAGGGCACAGACCCTCGTGAGTCCTACTTGAGTTTGTGAGTAAATGAGAGGTAGATGTGCTTCAAAACTGTCTCAGAGAGATGGCTGTGTAATGGTTGTGTTTTTTTACGGTCAGTTTTATTAAATTGCTTTTTATTTTCAAGCTTTTGCCCATAAAGCTTTAAGCCCGTCATTCATGTATTAACAAGTGCATGGAGAAAAATCAGCAATAAACAAGCAACACACCTGCCCCAATAACTTCTTCAATCTTGACAGTGGAGACGTCTATTTCCTTGGCGAATTCTCTGACGGCTTCATTAGGATCTTCGTAGGTGAAAGGGTCGATGTAGATTTTCATCCCCGGAGAGCCTGGCAGGGTCGGGCAGCCCATGGGTGTGTGGCAGTTGGACAGATCTGGCCTTAAAGTGAGTTCTAGAACACAACCCAATTCCACAAATCACTGAAATGCGCTGAAGTTTCTTTTGCATGGTGTTATTAACAGTTTTCATTTTAATGCAGTTTTAAAAACATTTTGGCAAATCTATGTTATGATCTAAACGAAAGCAGGTCAAGTCTAAGTATGTTATTATAAACCATTTCTGTTTTAATGCATTTATTGAAGCAGTAAATAAACAAATCCAATATGAGTGGCTAAACAATAGGTAATCTGTGAGTGATGAGTGGATTTATCTGAAATATGAAAATGAGCACCCATCGCCTGATGCTGATGACATCAATAGTTTCTCATAAAAACACTGAAATAAATAGGGTAGTGAATTTATTTAAATATTAAGATTTTCATGACATTCAGGTCCGTTAATAATGGTTCTGCATTCTAAAATATAGTATTAAAACAGCGATGAATTGTCAGCTTGAAAAGCATGCATAAGTGAAGCACTAAAAGTAGTCCACACAAATAATTAGGACTATTTCATAAAAAAAAAAGACATAATATTAATATTAATCAATTTCTAGTCAAGAACACTGTTTTCTATACATGCACTAAATAAAAACACTTAAAATAATACTTAAAAATATTTTTAATCTCCAAAGCCTAGAAACAAATCTAACCGCTGTTGCTAGCCATTACAGTGTTTATTTTCTAACCTTTTTTTCCCCTTTAAAAACATTATGGATTCATTGCTGGTGACTATGACATCATTAAACATCAGTGGCAACACAAGACAGTTGCAGTGGAACTCTCTCTCTCTCTGCTTCTCCAATAGAGCCGAATCAAATTCTCTTCTGCCTTTATCCCCCACAGGACCTCATAAACAGATAACGCAGACACACTATCAAACTGCTCTTCATGGCAGAAGATGAAACTTCATGTGTAAACATCAGTATGTGTGTGTGTGTGTGTGTGTGTGTGTGTGTGAGAGAGAGAGAGAGAGAGCAACAGAGGATGCAGAAAGTAATCTCAGAGAATCAGAGAGAACCAGCAATCCACACAAATAAACCAAACATTAAACAAGCACTAAAAGGTGGTGTTCATAACTGCTGCCCAATAAGAAAGAGACCCAGAAGCAGGTGTGGAAGCTGATGCAATCACACTGAAAGACACAGGCAAGAGTCACTTCAGAAGAGCGCTGGCTCGGACGCTGGAGGGTGGAGAGACCGCGGTATGTCACCCAGCGTGACAGGAAGGCCAAGAGACATTCAAGTCTTCTGGCATAATAATAACCCATCCAGCACTCACTTTACTGACAGCCCTTGACTCCAGACAACAACGTGAAATGGATCCAAATTCACCCAATTTACGGTCTTAATAAATTCTAAAGATTTTTTATTATGCATCATTCAACCATGCATATTATTATAAAGAAAAAAAATGTTGGTTTTCATGATCTTTCATCAAAATATTTTTTCATCAAAAACTTTTATGACTGCTGAAATGACTTTTCTGCTTTTCTTTTGTTGCAATGTGAGCTGGAAAAAATATATTAATAAATAAAATGACAATCAAATCTCATCCAACCAACCAACCAACAAAATAACTAGATTTTTTTTTTTCCATTTTAAATAAATTATTATTAAAATTAAATCATCATTAAAATAATTTGTTTATTTTTTTTAATTTAGAATATTTATAATATATCTATCCATCCATCCAACCAACCAACCAACAAAATAACTTGATTTTGTTTTATTTTAAATACATTATTATTAAAATTAAATTTTCATTAAAATGATTTATATTTATTTCTTAATTTAGAATATTTATAGCAAATATATATATTGAGCTTGATCCACTAACACGAAGTAAAACATAATAATAATAATAATAAATACACATAATATTTATTGATATCATTTACACTGCAAAAATGGCTCATTCTGAAATCTTTGTACTTCTGACATCAGAAATGAAAAAATCCAATCACATTTGAATGTCAGCAATGCCTAATCAGTGACCAGAACAATGAGGAAGAAACAAAAAACAAGCTATTATTACTTAAACCAACACAATTAACAAGTGTTTTTAAAATGTTGTTATGTTCTTCAGTGTGTAGCACCTACAGCTCTGCAGATCCTTCAGAAGGATGCTGGCATTATTAATGAAGGGTTCAAGTTTATTTTTAACAAGGTCCCTAGCCATTTCAAAGCTTTACTAACATTTTAAGTGGACATCAGGGGAAAAATGATAAAAGGAATCTATGATATGAACCCTTTAACGTGAAAAAAGTCATGCAGGTCTGTTGAATTATTCATTTCAAACACACATGCACAAACCTACAGAGTGCTTTAATTTTAGAAATGCAGCTTTCCTCATCAATAACCCAAATGCCAAAGAGTTTATCTCCCCTTGTCCTCTGGAGTAATGCAATGTAACAGCTTCACTCATTTCTTATGGCTGAGAAAGGGAAATAAAAATATATATGTTAATATTTCATAGCCACTTGATCCGTGCGTGCCTAGAACACCAACTGCTCTGCCACTCTACTGAACCCCAGTCCCGCAGGAGAGAGAGAGAACTCAGATAGAGCCCAGAATGCATCACTTCCACCTGGGGCAGCGTGTCGAAAACCCTGTGAGACAGAGCAACAGAAACTTCTGGCCAAGCCCCTGAGGAAAACACTTGGTCTGGTCTTAGGCTCACGTACACCATTGTTTGTGATTATTTATTAATAGACATCTGACCATGTCTCAGAAATCTACAGAACTTAAAGGGTGAGTTCACCCAAAAATGAAAATTATCCTGTGTTTTACTCACCCTTGAGACATCCTAGGTGTATATGACTTTCTTCTTTCAGACGAATCCAGTCGGAGTTATAAGCTCTATCATTGCAGTCAGCGGGTGTTGCAGCTGAACAGTCCACAAGTCGTCACATAAAGCACGCGCATCCTTAATAAAACATGCCTCACACGGCTCTGGAGGGTGAATAAAGGCCTCCTGTAGTGAATCCATGTGTTTTGTAAGAAAAATATCCATATTTCAAACGTAATAAACACTTTTCTCTCACTTCCGGTATCTGTCATATGCGGAAGCCGTTCCGGCGGATGACGCAGCACGTATGCGCAGCGCGCGCGCGCCTCTGAGATATGCTAGTCTCGCAAGTTTGCTTATAGGAGCAAAGGAAGCAAAGTTTCCTTACTTTAGCAAAGGAAAACCAGTCTCCTCTTGGCTTATATCGAAATCCTCCGACATTTTTCTTTGCAAATCCTCGGTTTGTACTTCTAATTCATGACCAGCGTTTTGTTTTGTTCTCTCTCCGCATTCGTCACTAATCACGCAACGCCAACGTACTACGTCATCCGCCGTAACGGCTTCCACGTGTGACAGATACCAGAAGTGAGAGAAAAGTGTTTATTACGTTTGAAATATGATAAAAATTACTTTTCCATCCTTCCATCCATCCACCTGATAAAATATCTGATTTTATTTTTTTAAATAAATTATTAATAATAAATTATCTTTATTTTTTATATTTATTAATTTTGAATATTTATATCCATCCATCCGACAAAATAAGTTTTTATTTTAAATATCTATCTATCTATCTATCTATCTATCTATCTATCTATCCATCCATCCATCCATCCATCCATCCAACCAACTTATTTATTTTAAATTATTATTAAAATGAAATTATCATTACAATTATTAATATTTATTTAATAATTTAGAATATGTACAGCCTATATTTCTATCTACTGCATCTATATATTACAAAATTTAATATTTATATAGTTCTTCTTCTTTTTTTTTTTGAGATGATGCGTTAAGCACTTTATATTATACTGAGCAGCTATATAAATAAAGTTTAAATAGAATCAGAACTGAATTCATATGCTACATAAACTCCAGGTCATTAGTCTCCTGTAGTCTTTCCCATCCACTATCTCCTCTTATTTTGAATGTCGTTAATCTGTCTTTGTGAATAGGAGCATCTTAATACACCGCTTGCACATGACAAACGTCCGACCCCTGGCCCGTGTAATCGCATTGTTTCTGAGCTTCAAAAAACAGACGTCTCTGATGTGTCCTGATACATAAAAGGATCTGTCTCAGGTTAAGAAGCTTTGAGAATATCAGTCCATCTGTGCTCTTATGTGCAGTGTCTGACACTGTGTAAGCAAATTTACATCAGATTAGTTGCATCTCACTGATCTCTTAGGTGAGAGATGCTTTTTTTCCTCTCTCTCTCTCTCTCTCTCTCTGGCATTAAAAAGCCATGCGTTATGAAGCGTACTCCATTATGACCTGCCACATTACGGCTGCCTCACTATTGCAAGGTTCTATTACGCTTTAAATCAATATTTTACACAAAATCATATTTCCATTTTATGTCCAGCATTCATTTTTCTCCATTCACAGCAATTTAAGTCTTTCAGCTCCTTGGGGTGTTCATTAGAGAGAGAGAGAGAGAGAGAGAGAGAGAGAGAGAGAGAGAGAGA